TAACCTTGATGTGTCTGTCTGTGGATCTCTTTGAGTTTATTCTACTTCGAAGTTCATTTAGCTTCTTGGATGTGTAGATCAGTGTTTTTCAATAAATTGTAAAGTATTCAGGCATTATTTCCTAAAATTTTTTTTGCTGCTCCTTTTTTTTTTCTTTCTTTGAGACCGAGTCTTGCTCTGTCACCCAGGCTGGAGTGCAGTGGTGCAATCTTGGCTCACGGCAACTTCCATCTCCTGGGTTCTTGGCATGGTGGTGTGCATCTGGAGTCCTAGCTACTCATCTGCTTCAGCCTCCCAAGTAGCTGGCACTACAGGCACATACCACCACGCCTGGCTAATTTTTGTATTTTTAATAGAGATGGGATTTCACCATGTTGGCCAAGCTGTACTCGTGCTCTTGACCTGAAGTACTCGTAGTCTTGACACCATGCCTGACCTATAGTTTTATTTCTAAAGAGCTAACTAGGAAGTGGGAGAAGGAGGAAAAGAAGAGTGGGAAAACAAAGAATTTAAAAATAAATAATTGAATTAAATAATTGAGGTCAGGTGCAGTGCTGTAATCCCAGCACCTGGGGAGGCCAAGGTGGGCGGATAACTTGAGGTCAAGAGTTTGAGACCAGCCTGGCCAACATGATGAAACCCCATCTCTACTAAAAATACAAAAATTAGCTTGGCATGGTGGTGGGTGCCTGTAATACCAGCTACTTGGGAGACTGAGGCATGAAAATTGCTTGAACCCGGGGGCAGAGGTTGCAGTGAGCTGAGATTGTGTCACTGTACCATTTAATTAAAATGGAGGTTTTACCATGTTGGCCAGGCTGCTCTTGAACTCCTGACTTTAAGTGATCTACCCACCTCAGCATACCAACGTGCTGGGATTACAGGTACGAGCCAGGGCGCTTGGCCTAGGCCCCATAATTTTTAGCAGTCCTGTACCCAAAGTAGAGCCTACATCCTAGTAGTACCCTGGGCTAGGTGGAAGAAGGGAGCTCCCACTTCTTGCCTGCACTCTCCTGAAATGTAGCCTCAACGACAGGCAGCAGGATGAGATCTGCCGATGTCCTGCCCTCCCAAGAAGATCTGTTCAACTGGAAGCTGCAGGGAAACAAAGGCCTATGTTCTTGGCTTCACTGGCCCGGAGTGGAATTTTTGTCTCACTTAGGTGGGGTGGAGAAAGGTAGCAGTTGCTCTTGATTTGCATACCACTGAGTCTTACTGTTCTTATACTAAAGTTTAGATTTTCTCAAATAGATGTTTCTTCTGTCAAAAGACAAAATTACAACACATTTTGTTTAAAGATCTCTTAGTGATTCTGGCATTGGGGAACACTTCATTCTATAAAATAGAATAAATGTTTAATGAGTGAAGCAGAGGAGATTGGCTTTATAGATAGAAAAGGGGTTGGATAAAGCAGAAAAAAAGAGCAAAAAGTGGATTCGTCTCAGTTGATAGGGTAGCTCCCGAAAAAAAGTGGATTGGTCATTTTAGGGTGGGGACAAGGAGACACAATAATAGAAAAATAATTGATTGGTTGACATCAGGTTACTCCAGATGAAACTTCACATGATGTCAGTTGAAACTGGCCTGTTTGGAAAATTAGGCTGTTAGCTCTTTCAGTCTCTCAATTACTTGAAAGGCCAGATGACAGCTCAGTTTCGGTTTGGTGAGCATGAGTGACTCCTTTATGATTTTTAGTCTGGACTGTTGGGCCTAGTGTTATGGGATCTTTGGGGTGTCACTTTTCTGGCCAGAAACATCTGTGGCTGATGGTGCCTTTGCCTGAGTTTTGCTCAGGCCCACTGGGCTTGTTCTGCCCATGGCCTGGCATTGCATTCGGCTCATATTACCAGCCTGTATCCCACGCCTGCCAAGGGAGAATAGGGCGTGAAGCAGCGGAGTGTGAGAGTGAGCATGGTGTCCAGCCACTGCACAGTCAAGACACTCCAGCTGCTGCAGCGGGGTGGGCATCTCCAGATGCCGGCATGGGCACTGGCCCTCTGTGAGGCTACAGCCAGACCAGGTACACCTCAAGCAGCTTCCACTGCTGGCACTGGGGAACACTGGTGAAGCTTGGAGATGCCAGGAACCACAGGGCCCCAAAGAGGGTTAGTGTTATGGGATCTTTGGAGTATCACTTGGCTTGGGGAGCTCCCAGGTCTGGGCTCCTTGAAGGGCCACAGCCCTTCTCTCCTCTTCACATGCAGCATGGTGAGAAAGTGGCATGTTTCAACTCCTAACATGTTTACATTACAGTTCTTTTAGCCTCACCATTCAGTGGGTCCCGAGTTCTTGTCCTGTGACCAGGAAGAGGTATGAAAACAAATGAAGGGTAAAGAAGACCAAGAGAAACTATTGAGAGAGCAGCTCAGAGGAGACCCGTAGGGGGCAGCTTCTTTCCATAGCCAGGGTGTCTCGTATGCAGCTGGTCATCTTGATGAGTGTTGAGCTCTCAGCAGAAGGGTAGCTTCTCTCTGCAGGTGGTCATCCCATTGTCTGTTCTGCTCTGGTGGAGCCCAGGGATTTTAGGGGCCTTAGACAGGAGGAATTACCCACCAATTGGTCCATGGGCAAACCCAGAAAAGGCATCACAAGTTCCCACTCTGGTCTGTGGGACTAGCAGCCCCATCCCAGCCTTCAGGCCCTCCCTGGCCCGAAGGTGGGGCCTTACCAGGGACCCACCCCCTTCTGCCCAGAGCCTGTCTGCCTCCTGCTTGGGGCCCCGGCTGCTGATGCCAAAGGGCATATGCAGGCTAATGCCAAGCTGCCCTCCGCACCCCCTCACCTTGCCTCCACCATCCTGTGCTTGTTTGAGCCCAAAGTCTGAAGAAGGACAAAGCCGGAGGAGGCTGGCGTGTCATAGCTACCCCAAACATGCACACACCTGGCCAGGCTTTGACGGTGCCTGGACTCGGCCCAACCCTACTCTCAGATTGGAGCTGGCAGTGGGGGTAGTGGGTAGAGGCCAGGCAGTGGGAGCAGACTCCCCAGAGCCTGCGGAGCAGTGGGGGCCGCTCAGGCTTGGCTCCACCTTGGGGCACCTCTCTGCCTGCCCCTTTGTGCCTGACCATGCTGCTTCCCAACTGGCAGGTGACTCAGCCAGGCTCCATCCCAGCAACCTCCAGGGCAGTGGGCTCTGGGGGGGACTCCCAGGGGCCGGCTTCGGGGACTGTCTGCTTCCTCCCCTAGCCCTCCCCACAGCTGGGGCAGGTGTCCGGAGTAGTGGAGGATCTCGGCCTGGGGGTGGGTCCTGTCTGCACGAAGGTGGGCATGGCCTGGTTACCTGCTTTGGGGACACAGGGCGCAGGGTTCCATTAGTGCCACTGCTGTTCCTGCAGCTGCTCCTGCCATCACTGTTCACACCTCCCTGCTGCTGCCAGTGTGATGGTAGCGGCTGTTCCTGATGGCTTGTGGCTGCCATCACTAGTGTAGGAGTTTAGTCCAAAACAGTGGGCTCCTATAATTTTTATTTTAAAATTCATATGCCATATTCTCTTAGCACCATTTCCAGAGACTTTAGTTTGTTTTTTTGAGTTGAAGTGTTGCTCTGTAGCCCAGGCTGTAGTGCAGTGGCATGATAATGGCTCACTGCTCTGAGGAGCTCTGTAAACCTCCCACTACTTTCAGTGAAACTGGTGAAAATTACTTTAAAAACTATTTGGCCAAGTACCGTGGTCAGTGCATTGTATCAGGAGGTTCATAGTATCTGTTTAACATGCTAGCTGTTATTTTAATTTTGAACAGTTCTTTCAACAAGCACACATTGATTGTCACATAGTACTTTTTTTTATTACTAGCTAGATTGAATTTTATGTATGCTAATGGTTTGGAAAGGGGTCAGGGAAGTGCTAGGTAGAGGAGGGCATGGCCTCTGGCTCCACCCTCAGGCCTGTGCCCACAGACCTCGGTGAGAACAGGCACTCCTGCCTTTACACCCAAATGTTGCATTTCCCGAGACCACCCTGGCCTGCCACGCTCCCATTCTGTGCCTATAAGATCCCAGAGACCCTAGCAGGAACACACACACAAGAGGCTGGACGTCGAGAGGAATACATCAGCAGAAGAAGACACAGCAGCTGGACATACAGAGGATGTTAAAGGGAGCATGCCAGTGGAAGAGCATACTGACAGATGCCAGCATGCCAACAAGCCTTCGACTGGCAGGAGTTTGGCCAGAGCAGTTGAAGGAGAACCCCCCGCTGAGTGGCCGGATTCCAGGGGAAAACCATCTCCCTTCCGGCTCCCCCATCTGCTGAGAGCTACTTCCACTCAATAAAACCTTGCACTCATATCCCAAGCCCAGGTGTAACCCAATTCTTCCGATACACTAAGGCAAAAACCCCGGGTACAGAAAACCTTTTCCTTGCGATAAGGCAAGGGTCTAACTGAGCTAACACAGGCCAGCTACAGATGGCTAAACTAAAAAAGCACCCTGTAACACATTCCACTGGGGCTTCAGCTATAAACATTCACCCCTAGGCACTGCTGTGGGGTTGGAGCCCCACAACCTGCCTGTCTGCTCCCCAGAGGTTTGAGCAGTGGGGCACTAAAGAAGCAAGCCACACCCACATTGCACACCCTTCAAGGGGTACAAGGGAACTTTTCCCATTTCACTAAGTGGTTATTTATATGACTATTTTGTAAATATATGGGATTTACATTTATATACATATATATGAATTTGCTGAATTATCTGTGAAACTGATTATATTTTATCTATTCTAACATCGTTGGGTTTTGTTGATTCAAATAACTCTATATATGAATGCTATTACTCTTTTGGCATGAATGTTGCAAATGGTTTCCCTAGTTTGTTTGCTCTTTAATTTCTTATGACTTTTTAAAAAATCTTTAAGTTTAAAATTTGTATGTAAACTGAACTATTAGTATTTTCCTGTATGGGTTCCACCTTTGATGTCATGCTTAGAAAAGCCCTTCTTAAGATTACAGAAACATCTTTTCCTACTACATAGTGATTTTCGTTTTATTTGTTTCTCAAATAGGTACGTTTGCAGCAGCACATGGGTGAAAAGTATACAACTTACAGTGTGAAAGCTCGCCAGTTGAAATTTTTTGAAGAAAACATGAATTTTTGAGCATTTGTCCTAATCTGCTGCCAGAATTAAAGACCTATTTCAGAGGTTTTTGACTTAAAAAACAAGGGCAAACTTATTTGGAGGCCATTCACCACTGTTTTATATCTCTTTGGGGTTTTCTTACAGAAAAGAAATTGGACAGAACAGAGTACTATGAAGCAGGATCACAAAAGAAAAAACACCTTTGGCTTTCATATTCTATTTATGAGGATGCATCTATTGTTTGTTTGATTACTGTTTACTGAGCCTTAAACCACCAAGTTTATAGCTAGAATTTTATTTTTCTAAGGTACTAATTAGCTTAAATGCAGGGCTATAAAGTACTAGATTGAAAATTTTATATTGTAATATAGAGATAAAAGCGATAGGAGAAACAAATTACTTATGTCATTATACCTGCTATTGTCAATAACCTTAGTGAGTAGTTGATAAATTATAAAATTTTTAAAAGTCAAATCACGGTTCTGGAAATAGATTTAAAGAATATGAAGTTCTAACTAGTACCTGGGCAACTGAATTTCTTTTCTACACATTGATGGACTTTGAATATTTTATTTTCATTCAGTGTAAACCTCATTTAGAGTATATACAAATTAAAACTGAGACAAATGGCTTTGTAAATCAGTATGTTTTTACATAATGGTTTTGTTAGATTTATTTTTCCATCAGTGAAAAAACATTTCTTAAATACAAATTTCATTTACATTTAAGCAATTTGTAAGCAAAGTCCAGGTCCACTTAGTTTTTGGATATATTTAATGCTTGTCTCTGAAGTTTGTCTTCGTCTTCTTTAAGATAATGTCTTTCCATGTTTTAAATGTATGATTATATATCACATATTCGTTGTTTAATAAGAGGTAATACCCATCTAGGAAAGGAATTTTATAAAGTTAAATACAAGTCTTGAATAGTACATTCAAGGGATACTAAAAATAAATATTGTCCTTGGTGTGAGTCCGTCTTGAGCGGCTGTTCTTTTGAGCAATGGTCGTTTATCTCCGTCCGCCTTCTCTTCCACCTAAGTGCGTGTCGCCACCCAATGGAAGATTCGATGGACATGGACATGAGCCCCCTGAGGCCCCAGAACTATCTTTTTCGTTGTAAACTAAAGGCTGACAAAGATTATCACTTTAAGGTGGATAATGATGAAAATGAGCATCAGTTATCTTTAAGAACGGTCAGTTTAGGAGCTGATGCAAAGGATGAGTTGCACATTGTTGAAGCAGAGGCAAGGAATTACAAAGGCAGTCCAATTAAAGTAACACTGGCAACTTTGAAAATGTGTGTACGGCCAACGGTTTCCCTTGGGGGCTTTGAAATAGCACCACCAGTGGTTTTAACGATTGAAGTGTGGTTCAGGGCCAGTGCATATCAGTGGATAGCACTTAGTAGCTGTGGAGGAAGATGCAGAGTCAGCAGATGAGGAGGAGGAGGACATGAAACTCTTAAGTATGTCTGGAAAGCGGTCTGCCCCGGAGGTGGTAGCAAGGTTCCACAGAAAAAAGTAAAACTTGCTGCTGCTGCTGATGAAGATGATGATGATGATGATTTCGATGATGAGGAAACTGAAAAGTGCCAGTGAAAAAATCTATATGCGATACTCCAGCCAAAATTCGCAAAAGTCAAATCAGAATGGTAAAGACTCAAAACCATCAATACCAAGATCAAAAGGACAAGAATCCTTCAAAAAACAGGAAAAAACTCCTAAAACACCAAAAGGACCTAGTTCTGTAGAAGACATTAAAGCAAAAATGCAAGCAAGTATAGAAAAAGGTGGTTCTCTTCCCAGAGTGGAAGCCAAGTTCATCAATTATGTGAAGAATTGCTTCCGGATGGCTGACCAGGAGGCTGTTCAAGATCTCTGGCAGTGGAGAAAGTCTCTTTAAGAAAACAGTTTAAACAATTTATTAAAAATTTTCCATCTTATTTCATTTCTATAACAGTTGATATCTGGCTGTCCTTTTTATAATGCAGAGTGAGAATTTTCCCTACCGTGTTTGATAAATGTTGTCCAGATTCCATTGCCAAGAATGTGTTGTCCAAAATGCCTGTAGTTTTTAAAGATGGAACTCCACCCTTTGCTTGGTTTTAAGTATGTATGGAATGTTATGATAGGACATAGTAGTAGTGGTGGTCAGACATGGAAATGGTGGGGAGACAAAAATATACATGTGAAATAAAACTCAGTATTTTAATAAAGTAAAAAATAAATAAATATTGCTCCAGAAATGTTTTTAGATTTTTTTTTCTTTTTTTTTTTGAGAGTTTTACTCTGTCACTCAGGCTGGCATGCTTGATCTTGACTCACTGCAACCTCCGCCTCCTGGGCTCAAATGATACTCCCGCCTCAGCCTTCCTAGTAACTGGAACCACAGGCATGTGCCATGACACCTGGCTAATTTTTGTATTTTTTGTAGACAGGGTTTCACCATGTTGCCGAGGTTGGTCTCAAACTCCTGGGCTCATGCGATCCACTCACCTCGGCCTCCCACAGTGCTGGGATTATAGGCATGAGCCACTGTGTCCAGCTCTGTTTTCAGTTTCCGTAACTAAAAATGTATCTTTCTTTGAAAATTATACACACACACACACACACAAATACTCTAATAAAATGTTCCCTTTAAAGTCACTAACACATTTTTATTTCGAGTTTCCTCTGTCCCAGGTTATCTGCCAGGAGCTGGGAATATAGTGGGGAATAAAACAATACTTACTGCCCTTTCACAGTGCTCACAGCCTGGTTTCTGAGAACTCTTTTCACTTTGAAGGGTCTGCTAGAACTCAACTTGCAGAACCATCAAGTCCCAGTGTCCAGTTGGGAGCAAATCTTTGGCAAACTTGGTATCCTTGGGCTATTCGCCTTCCCTTGCATGTTTTGGAAATCCACTTCTTTCTGGACAGTCATCAGTTTTATTTATTTTTTCTAATATGTTGGTATAAAATAGATACTTTTTTAGAATTAAAGGAATCTCACCAATTTTTTTTTTTTTTTTTTGAGACGGGGTCTTGCTTTGTCACCCAGCCTGGAGTGCAGTGGGGTGATCATAGCTCACTGCAGCCTTGACCTCCTGGGCTGAAGTGATCCTCCCACCTCAGCCCTCATATAGCTAGGACCACAGGCATGTACCACCACACCTGGCTAATTAAAAAATTTTTGTGTGTGGAGAGGAAGTCTCACTGGGTTGCCCAGGCTGGTCTCAAACTGGGTTCAACAATCCTCCCACCTCGGCCTCCCAAAGTGCTGGGATTATAGGTGTGAACTACCATATCTGACTTCTTCCATACTTTTATTTCCATGCTGTATATTTTTGTTTAAACACTGATTTTGTTTTCTCACTTTTGTTTTGTGGTTTTTACTTGAATGCTTAATTTATCTCCCTAAATTAATTTTAAAATACATCCTTAAGACTATGAATTTTCTTCTGAATATACCTTTGGCCACAGTTCAGAGACTCTGATGTGGTATCCTTTTGGCATTAGTTCTAAAATGTCAGTAATTCTTTTTTTTGAGACAGAGTCTCGTTGCCCAGGCTGGAGTGTAGTGGTGCGATCTTGGCTCACTGCAGCCTCTGCCACCCAGGTTCAAGCAGTTTTCCTCCCTCAGCCTCCCGAGTAGCTGGGATTATAACCATGCACCACTAAGCCTGGCTAATTTTTGTATTTTTAGTAAAGACGGAGTTTCACCATGTTGGCCAGGCTGGTCTCAAACTCCTGACTGGTGATCAACCCACCTTGGCCTCCCAAAGTGCATGCCTGCAGCACTATTAATTATATACCATGAACTATCTCAAACTCCTGGGCTCAAGTCATTTTCCTGCTTTAGCCTCCTAAAGTACTGGGATTACACTGCACCTGGCCAGAACCATAAACTTCTAACTTCAGCTTTTACTAATTATCTTCCTTGCAGAATAATGAACAAAAGACCCTTTAGACAAAGAACTTGCACTATGAGTTTTAATTGGAAACATTAACATGGTTTAACAACTCCTAATGAATTATAAAACTTTGATACATTGTACTATCATTTATGAGGCATTTATTCTTCATTATTTATACCTGAAACTGCAGACTTGGGTTCTCTTCCTCATTTCAGAGCAAGATTATGAAGAGAAGATCTAAACTACTTACATAAATCAAAACCCAACTGGGCTAGAAATGAAATATAAAGAGAACTAAATCTATACACAGCTGTGCCATAAGAGCATTATTAGGTGGTTTTAGCTCATATTTGGGGTATGAAAGCAATTTAGCTCATCTCACAGGAAACAAAAACCAGGTGCTGAATAATGAAAACCTCAATTATTTTTAGCATGCCTCTTAATTTTTCTTTCGCCTGGTTTCTTGTCTTCTGTGCTGGAGTCTTGAACAGGTAACCACTTGAGAGGATGTCGGCGATAGATGGGCCATGGAGGAAGTGTCAGCTGGGCCAGAAAAGAGAAAATGCATCAATTACAGCTATTAAAAGTTTTAAAAAATCATTATGTCTAATGCCTGGTTCCCAAACTACTCCTACGCTGAGAGAACAACAACAACAAAAATCCATATTCCTATAAAGGCTCTGTGCCACCACTCATGCAAGATACTATAAGATGATGGGAACAGGCTCACTGCGTACACAAATGGCTTTAAGACCTAAAAGAGAAAGGTAAGGGGTCGGGCATGTAATCTCAACACTTTGGGAGGCCAAGGTGGATGGATCGCTTGAGACCAACCTGGCCAACATGAAACCCTGTCTCTACTAAAAATACAAAAATTAGCTGGGTATGGTGGTGTGTGCTTGCAGTCCCAGCTACTTGGGAGGCTGAGGCAGGAGAATCGCTTAAACCCAGGAGGCAGAGGATGCAGTGAGCCAAGATCGCCCCAGTGCACTACAGCGTGAGCGGCAGAGTTAAACCCCGTCTCAAAAAATTTTAAAGAAAGAAAGAGGCCGGGCCCAGTGGCTTAGGCCTGTAATCCCAACACTTTGGGAGGCCGAGGTGGGCGGATCACGAGGTCAAGAAACAGACCATCCTGGCCAACATGGTGAAACCCCGTCTCTACTAAAAACACAAAAATTAGCCGGGTGTGGTGGCACGCACCTGTGGTCCCTACTACTCGGGAGGTTGAGGCGGAAGAATCGCTTGAACCCAGGAGGCGGAGGTTGCAGTGAGCCGAGATTGCGCCACTGCACTCCAGCCTGGGGACGGAGCAAGACTCCGTCTAAAAAAAAAAAAAGAAAAAAGAAAAAAGAAAGAAAGGTGAGGGGGAAATGTAAGCACCAAGAAAAACTCCAGTTAGCTTTTACCGTAAGATTATTACCCAGAGTAGCTGCCAAAGGAAATCAGATGTGCTCTTTTATATAGTTTATACCATCTGACACTATTTTGGCATTCTATTTTTCCAATGACAGCAGAGGGAAACATTGGGTTTGGGTCGCACTACTGAGGTGTAACCAAACCAACCCGACTCACAAAACCCAACTGCCACTAACGCCCACACACCCACAAATTTCTTACCAAACATGAAAAAGCAAATCCGGCCATAACTATATAGACAGTCCACCCGAACTGTTCAGCCACGTACCCGTAGATAAATCCAACTATCTAGAGGTAAATGAAGTATATTAAACACACTCAAACTGAAGGTTGAGGGGGGTAGGCGGGGGCGGAGGTTAAATGTGAAACCAATACTTACTGCAGAAAAAAGAATAATTCCCTGAAACATCTGTTCAGCTAGCTTCTGGCCCTTGTAATCCTGGGGAGAAGCAGAGGAAAAAAAGATTTGGTTCCACCGCCGAGGAGATACAATTTCTGCCCTGACCTCACAACTTTGGCCCGGGGTAACTCCAACGTCAGGGGCTCCCGCTCTCCTAAGGACCTGGGCAAGGAACTAAATTCTGGGTTTCCCGGGAGGAACTGAAATAGCCTCACGGAGAATGGACAGGGAGATCCTCGCGGAGGAGAAGGGGACCCAGGAAGCAAGTCGGGAAAGAGGGTGGACGGTACCCATCTGGGCCCAGAACAGCGCAGCATCGGGTCGGTGCTCGGACATGGGCTTCGAAGCTGCCAGGTACAAGAGCGGCGTGCGGAGGTCCCCGGGCTGAGCCCTCACCATCTGCGTGGGCAGCGAGCTCAAATGCTCCAGCATGGCTGGCTGAGGAGGCGGACAGCCAAGCGAAGGTGGCAGGCTGCGAAGCGAGGGAGACCGAGATTTAGGGGCCCTGAGGACCAAGGTGTGACACTGCACGTCGCCAGGCTAGCCCTCGAAGCCCGGGAGAGCGATGGCCGTGGCCCCGGAAGCGGAAGTCTCCGACAGGCCGGCACAATCCGTGTCCCCGCTCCGCGCCATCGCTAGGCGACGTGAGGTTTTGCCGCAGCGTGCTGCCCGGGAGGAAAGCTGAGGTGGCAGCAGCGGCCGCATCGAGGCATTGAGCGCCCGTGAAGGGTACGATGTAAGTGCCGTTGGGTGCCTGGAGCCGAGGCCCCAGTACCGAAAACTGTCCTCGACAGTGCCTAAGCAGCCCAACGGCTGCCGGCGCGCGCTGCGTCTCCATGGCGACGGCTTTTCTCTGTGAGGACCCCCGGCGGCGGGGCTGCCCCGCGGCGCCTGCTTGGCGCGACTGTGTATCGGTCACAGCAACTTGCTGGTTGGGCGTTGTAGGGCTGCGCGGCTGCCACGGAACTAGAGGGCACGTGGGCTCGGCCCAGTGTGTAGGGGCCACGGGCGGCCAGACAACGGGCTGCGCCCCACGGCCTGCGGCGCGGGCGCTGAGCTGGCAGGGCGGGCCGGGGAGCGGGCTGCATCCGCATCTCCTCCTCCGCCTGCCGTGAGAGCTCCCGCGGCGAGCATCTGAGGGGAACGACTGGTCGGAGCCCTAACCCAGGGTACCTCTGAGCCTGGCGGGATCCCCGGAGCGTCACATCACTTTCCGATCACTTCTAAGTGTAAGGGGGCCCCTCCTGACCCTTGGAATTTAGGGGGGCTACCCTAGGCGGCATCCACTAGAGAGAGAATTTCCTTGGAGAGGGGACCCCGGTCCTCTGCTCTCACTCTCATCCGCGTGGAGGGTCCCTCATTCGGGGGCTCCCACCCTCGGCCCTTTCACACTCTGGCCGGCTTTACTGACCCTCACAGACCCAGGCTGCGCCCTCCCGATAGAGGCCAGCCAAAGGTTCACTCAGCCTCTTTCAAGGCTGGTGTATCTCCAAATCGTAGAGCCTCCACCGTTACCGTGAGCCAGGTGGGATGACCACGTTTTGGAGAGAAACCGATCTGAGGAGCCCGGGCCTCTGGGTCCCAGCTGGCTCTCCCGCCTCCATGCTATGTATTCAGGGTTAGCCACAGACAGTAAGATTCTAGGCACTCCCGGGACAGGGTGGGACTGCTGGCCTCATTCATGTAACCAGCAAATATTCACAGCACCTTGTTTGTGCCAGACAGCAGTTGTTAACAAGACCAGACTGTTGCCTTAGAAGAGCCAAGAGCCTGTCAAGGAAGACAGCCACATCACGCCAGAAACACATGACAGCTGGATTAGCCCTGGAAGAGGGAGGCCCAGATGTGGGAACTCAGGGGAGGTGCAGCTCTACCTGGGGTTTGAAGGAGGTTACCTTGACTTCTGAAAGCCAAGAGGGAGCTAGCCAGATGAAAGGGTAGGAGAAAGTGTTTATATATCTCAGTGCCTTTCATCCTTTTACTTGGCAGAGGCCAAGCAGTAAACAAACAAAAAAATCCATATTCCTATAAAGGCTAAAATGCAGACACCTTTGACACTTTTTGACCTCAGAAGGATCCAGGACATGTAGAAGGCAGCAAGAGGGATGAGCAAGAGTTTATTCCTGTTTCCTTCTCATGCTCTGTGTTTCTTAGTGTGTTTGAACAGACTTTCTGTTGTGTATATAAATAAACATGTCTGTGTGTGTGTGTGTGTGTGTGTGTGTGTGTGTTTTGAGACTGACTCTTGTTCTGTCGCTCAGGCTGGCGTGCAGTGGTGCAATCGCAGCTCACTGCAACCTCTGCCTCCTGGCTTCAAGCTATTTTCCTGCTTCAGCCTCCTGAGTAGCTGGGATTACAGGCATGCACCACTACACCAGGCTAATTTTTGTATTTTCAGTAGAGATGGAGTTTCACTGTGTTGGCCAGACTAGTCTCAAATGCCTGACCTCAAGTGATCCATCCACCTTGGCCTCCCAAAGTGCTGGGATTACAGGCATCATCCACCGCACCCAACCACTGTGGTCTTTTTTTTTTTTTTTGAGATGGAGTATTGCACTGTCACCTGGGCTGGAGTGCAGTGGCATAATCTCGGCTCACTGAAACCTCCACCTCCCAGCTTGAAGTGATTCTCTCCTGTCTCAGCCTCCCAAGTAGCTGGGATTACAGGCACCCACCACCACGCCCGGCTAATTTTTTGTGTTTTTAGTAGAGATGGGGTTTCACCATGTTGGCCAGGGTGGTCCCAAACGCCTGACCTCGTGATCCACCTGCCTCATCCTCCCAAAGTGCTGAGATTACAGGTGTGAACCACCACATGTGGTCCACTGTCTTAAAATGCACTTCATGTGACAGCAGTTGCTATAGAGTCTTTATGGTATTTGAGATGTAAAGGCGGCCGGCGCAGTGGCTCATGCTTGTAATCCCAGGACTTTGGGAGGCCGAGGCGAGCGGATCACCAGAGGTCAGGAGTTCAAGACCAGCCTGGCCATCATGGCAAAACTCTGTCTCTACTAAAAATACTAAAATTAGCCAGGCATGGTGGCACACATCTGTGATCTCAGCTACTCAGGAGGCTGAAGCACAGGAATTGCTTGAACCCAGGAGGCAGAGGTTGCAGTGAGCCAAGATTACACTACTGCACTCCAGCCTGGGTGACAGAATAGAAAGTAAAATAATAAAATAAACTTTTTTTTTTTTTTGAGACAGAGTTTTGCTCTTCTTGCCCAGGCTAGGGTGCAATGGCGTGGTCTCAGCTCACTGCAACCTCCGCCTCCCAGGTTCAAGTGACTCTCCTGCTTCAGCCTCCCGAGTAGCTGGGATTACAGGCATGCACCACCATGCCTGGCTAATTTTGTATTTTAAGTACAGATGGGGTTTCTTCATGTTGGTCAGGCTAGTCTTGAACTCCCAACCTCAGGTGATCTGCCTGCCTTGGCCTCCCAAAGTGCTGGGATTACAGACATGAGCCACTGTGCCTGGTAATAAACTTTTTTTTTGCTAGTTACAGTGGCCTAAAATGCACTCTAAACTTTTGATAGCAATTGGATTTTGTGAATTTTTGTAACTTTTTTTGTGCTGTGGGTTTGTCAAGTGAATTTGGATAATGCTCTTTTCTTTGAGGACACTCATGTTAAAAGGTGAATGGGATACAACTCTGAACAGGGATGTTTTTACTGATGAGGCTAAGACCTCAGGTTACTTGGTCATAGACAACCTGAATCCATGTCTAATTTAGGAATTTTAAGTAGAAACGTAATTCTTAAATGTTTCTTTTGCTTTTCATTTTGTGATGTATAATGTACAAGGCTAAGGCTATGTATTTCTCCAAATTATTTTTAAGTGTTTTATTATGACTACCATAAAAATTTCAGATCCTGAATTAAAAAAAAGTGTTAGGGCATTTTGATGTCTATTCTCATGTACTTAATGACTTTGGGGGCTTGTTTTTGTTTTGTAGGGTTAATAACAAATATTTATACAACAGAAGAAAAAGATGTCATTCCGTAGAGGTATGCTCTTTCTACAAGTTAAGTTTTTATGTCTGGTCAAAGATAAAAGAGGTGTAACATAGGTTTTCCCTATCTATTTCAGTAAACATCATCATCTTGGTCCTGGCTGTTGCTCTCTTCTTACTGGTTTTGCACCATAACTTGCTTGGCTTGAGCAGTTTGTTAAGAAATGAGATTACAGGTATGGGAACCCTTACTAGTAATGCCTTAGAATCTGTTGAGGACCTGGTACTCTCTGTGTCATACATCCCAAGTTCTTCTTCTTTTAATAGTACTAGCAGTTGTTTGTTAAGGGTTTGATCTGACAGAATATTCCTTTTCACCAAATCAGAGGCCTTAGAAGAGCCTCTGAACGCTGCCATCTGTTTACATTTCAGCAGGACAGGGCTTCAGAAAGTGAGGGCAGGCAAGTGTCCTTGGTGTTTGATGCCTGCTCTAGTCACTAGAATGTCAGTCTAGTTGTTGTCCTTCAACTCGTGCAGCTCATCAGTGGGACTGTAGTAAAAAAAGTTTGTCAAGTGATTTTTGAAAATCACTGTTGTATAATACATTGCACAGTAAACTGAATTAGTTGTTCATACTGTTCTCCCTTGGTATTGAGGGATGTTTGAGGCCTGTTTGTCAAAAATCATTTTTGGATTGCCACCCACCATAGTTTACCAGAGTGAGAGATTATAATAGCTTTCCCCTGACTTTCATGGAGTGCCCTGCCCTGATAGCATGTTTTATCATGTGTATATATGTATGATAAAGTAATGCACATTCCTGGTTGGAAAGTGTAAAAAACGGGGACGGCAGCTGAGTGTGGTGGCTCACGCCTGTAATCCCAGCACTTTGGGAGGCTGAGGCAGGCAGATCACGAGATTAGGAGATCGAGGCCAATATGGTGAAACCCTGTCTCTACTAAAAATACAAAAATTAGCTGGGCGTGCTGGCCTGCACCAGTAGTCCCAGCTACTTGGGAGGTGGAGGCAGAAGAATCGCTTGAACTGGGAGGCAGAGGTTGCAGTGAGCTAAGGTCACATCACTGCACTCCAGCCTGGTGACAGAGCGAGACTCCATCTCAAAAAAAAAAAGAGAAAACAGCATTCAAGCTCCATGAGGGCAATCTGTTTACTGTTTTATCTCCTGTGCCTAAGGATAGTGGCCAATACTGGCTGTTCAATAAATAGTGGTTGAATGAATGATTTCATTGTCTAGAGGTAATGTATTACAATATTGGCTTAGTACCTTCCAGTTTTTTCCTACACATCTTTTTTTCTGTACAGTTGAGATTGTACTATATATAAACTGTACATGACATGTTTTTCTGTATATCATAAGCATATCGCTGTGATGGTAGAAAGTTTTCATACATATTTTTAATGTCTAGTAGTTTGTTTCCACAGGATAACATCTTTTGGTGCAACAACTTTCAGACTTTTTCATGGCAGCCCTACAATGGGAAACACATTACATGCAGCATACATACATACATACATATATACATACATGTATATTTGCTTATTGGCTGTCTATCCTCAGAAAGTTAGGGATGTCTTATTTATGACTATAATCCCAGTGCCTAAATATTGCCTGGCATATAGTAGATACCAGGGTTCACTGAGGAATAAAAAATATATGAAAGACAAGAATATTTACAGGACAATACTTGCAGGATATTTACAGGACAGTACTTGCAGTTCCCTTGTGTAT